CACTTTGACACCATTTCCCACAGCATTCTCCTGGAGAAACTGGCTGCTCATGGCTTGGACGGGTGCACGCTTCGCTGGTAAAAACTGGATGGCTGGGCCCAAAGAGTTGTGGTGAATGGAGTTAAATCCAATTGGCGGCCAGTTACAAGTGGTGTTCCCCAGGGCTCAGTTTTGGGGCTATTGGTACAATATTTAGTCAGGAACCAAAAAAGAGAGTCTCAATAATTAGCTATAAATTGTAATGTTTTAAGCATTAGACAATACAACACCTCCCACCATGCTGTAGATTTCTATTTAAACCAAAGGATCATTTAACTGTCAGCAACAGTGCATTAGGTTTTTACTATCTGTTACTGACTGGCCCTTACTATCATCTATACACAGAAAAAAACATTTTTACCCCACCTGAAAAAATCTACAAGGTAGTACAAATGGTATTTCTGCATGGCTGTTAATTCAGCAAAATTTGGATAGATTTTTTTTTGATCGTTTAATCAGAGAATCATCTCCCCACCCCTAATCACTCTTAGAACTCCAGCTCTATCCTCCTCTAAAGTTTCGAGTGCCAGACCACACTGATACAGCTTTGTCCTGTTTTTGATCGCTGGTTATCCACTCTTTCAGCAATTCTTCTTCTCCAAACAGTATTTCAGCTGTTCTGCTAGAAGTTCCTCCAGTCACCCAACAGAACATAAGCCATAGCAACCTGTTAAGACTTCACTTTTCATATGTAACCTCAAGACTTGTCCTCAACTTCTGTCTTTCAGTATAAATTTAAAATACAAGGGTTTGGGAAACTCAAACTAAGCTTAGAATCTGTTCTATGTTTGTAACAATGCCCACTACTTTTATGAGTAATTTTTTTATAAGATACTCAGACATCACTAAATTTGGCAGATTTTCAGCTTTCATGTTCATACAAAAAGTTGAAAATAGTTTTGAGTTAAAGTTTTGTAATTTGGTTTAGATATAAACCAAAGCTTGTCTAAATTACAAACATAGTTGCTGCCTTACTAATTCCTGTTCTGGAATTTCCGTTTGGTGTGTTAGCAAATTTACATATTTTGGCAGTGATGTCTTTCATATTTCTTTTATATCAACACCTAAGTTCAGACATTAGTTATTTGGAAAAAATCTAATCTGATTATGAAGCTATTTTTTCACTCAATACTGCATTGAGTGCTTGAACTTGAAAGATAGTAAAGTCTTCTTGTATACAGTACTGACTCACATGAGTTGCTTGTATTTATTTCTATCCTTGTTTTACTGTCATTGGTTATGCAAAAAATTAACATTTGTAAAAACATCAAATTTTTCAGCAAACTTTGTTTTTAGTATTACTTGCTATTTTTGCTGAAATTAAAAAACATAAAACCCAAAAACGCATCAAAAAAACCCAAACCAAAAAACCCACCATTTGAGGGACATCCAGGCTTTGAGAAATGTTACCATACTAGTTCATGCTACAAGCAATTAAGAGGTAAGACCATAACCAAACCAACACTGGGAAGTGTTAGGTAGCTTCCAGTATAAGCCTGTACCCCTCTACATAAAAATATTTAAAATAAAAAAAGAAGAATATAGTACACAAAAACAGGTTTACAAAATTTCTTGAAGTCTTCTCTAGTTTCTCCCACAAGCTTAAAGTAATCCACAGCTTGAACTACTAACTAAATATTACTGATCTGGATGGGAAGACTACTCAACGAGACAAGGGATTCCATGAATGCTTCTTTCAATGACAGTTCTGTAATCACAAATTACTTTACACCCTAAGTGAGAACGTAGTAGGGACAACATCATTTCCCTTTTGTTACTTGGCTGATACCGGTAACTGAAAGGAACTGCAAAAAAAGATACTTAGTAATGCTAATAATCTTAAAATTCATTCTGTTCAGCAGAAATTGAATTAATTTCACTGAGGGCTGCTAACATGAATCAATTGACATTAGATCTTAACAAAAACCCATTATTTTTTCAGAACACATGATTTCAGAAAGAAAAGTAAAGAAAAAGAATTTCTCCTCAAGTAGCTGAATTACAGTGACACCTTTTATCTACAATTTTAAAAAGTTACCTACCTGTTACTACTCACATTTGGCAAGTTTCAAGCCAAAAAGTCTTACTACACAAGCTTAAAGAAACACTACAAATCCTGAATAGCTATTAGTACTGGTCCACTGCATGTATTTTAAAAAAGAATAGTTACCATTCTTATTAAGTGACTGTTCATTCTATAAGTTATAAAATTTTTTATTAAAGTTTTACTTCAAACAAACAGTAGCAGAACTATAAGAATTTCCTACTTAAGCTCTCTACCAATATCTACACTAGTGTTAGACACAAGCAAACTTTGTCAGGGTTCACAGCGCGCTGTTCACACAGTACCAGTATTCAACTGCAACTGGACTGCCCATCTTCATCGATTACAAAAAGGAAAGAAAAACATGACTATCAGCTTACATAAATCAATGCGCAGCCTGTTTTGTGTGATGGCCACAGAAACGTCTTCAGTTTTTCTGAACTAAATTATTATAAATAACATTTTGCAGGTAAAAAGATAACACAGGAACACAATCATGAAGGAGTAATGGGAAAACATGAAACATAATTTCTTGTATAATTTTCCAAATTTTAGATTCAGAGCACATGTGTTTCAAATGAGCAAAGTGTAGCCAACTGAAAAGATTCCAATGATTCGCATGTTCCTATAATATAGCCCTTCATTAAATAACCTATCCACAAGTGAAAAACACACTTCCTTTTCAACAAGCAATATATACAATATGGTCAATGTTCTCAGCTAACTAGGAAAGATTTACATTTCCATTCTGGTAGGTTAGTAGGTATTTTTTGTTCCACAGAAAATAATTTTTTTTTTTTTATATTTAAGCTTTCCCTGTATGTGACAAATATTCTAGTCTGAGCTAGGAGGGAAAATAAAGGAAAGGAAATTAAAAAAAAAAATAGTTTCCACACATCAGGAGATTGTAGGAAGAGCTAGTGATCCATTAACTTTGCAGTCCTAGAACATATATGCTGCTGCCATTTGCATTTTATAAGTGCAGAAATCACCCCAAAAGAAGTTTTACAGCAAGCATATAAAGTATAGAAAAATACGTGCTGTACTGAAGGCACGTAGACTTGCTGTAGAAGCACAAGACTCTTACTTAGGTCACATTATAAAAATCTATCCATCCATCCTTTACCTTCCTCTCTTCATGCTCCCTCTCTTGGAGTCTATGGATCATATTGTTGGCAGATTGCACTGAAATAACAAATTGCAGTAGATCAGTCTGCTGTTCTAAATCAAAGAGAAACTTGCCTGAAAGGGATTTAAAAGACATGAGTCTGTTACAAGTCAAAGATTATATTCCACTGTGTCACTTAACTCTGCAAAAAAACATTTGTCAGTACTTGCAGAAAATGCTTTACATTGATAACTGTATGTAGGCATATCACCGAGTTCAACCCTTGAACGTTCCAGAAGCCAAAAAGTGAAAGGCAGGTAGGTCCTCTTGTGCCCATATTCCTTAGTGTTGCTGACGAGCTAGAGTGCACTACTCAGCACCTCAGAAGACATCAAAAAACCTCTCAAGTCAGTAAGTAGAAACAGGTAACCAAGCTCTATGTTTTAGTTGTGGGGTTTTTTTTTCTTATTTTTTCCCCATCAAATGTAAAAAGTGGTTTACTATAAAAAATCTACGTGGAGAACACCTTTATGCTGGAGCCAGCCTCTTCTCTCATGAGACTAAGCCTAGAAAAACTTGTCAATGGAAATAGGAACTGTATTCCTATGCAGGTTTTTTTCCTAACTTATTTAACACTTAATGCAGAATTAAACAAACTAATTTCCCCAAAGCAATCATTTCTCCCACTAACGCATCCTAGTATCGAGAAATACCTTACTTATTTATCATCATCTTAAAGCTGGTGACTTCTGACACCAGGAGGCAGGCTCCTGCCCCCTGAGGACTTCCAGTTACAGAACAGGTTCACTGCCCTCGTAGCTGATGAGAAGCTGGGAGCACCATGAATTGGAGCATCTGGTGGCTGAGCCTGAGCCTCTCGGGACCATTAGAAGACAGTGGCAATCGCTAGTTGTAGCAGAATCCCTATGGCAGGGGATGGAGGCTCCCCACCTGTCGATACGATTTGTCATCTAGGGAGGTTTGCCACTTGCCAGGAGCTCACATTCGGGATGTTGTAGAGAGGCTACAGAGGCTTGCACTATTACCCCTGCTGCTATTCCATGTAGACACCAGTGGTACTGCAGGGGTGACCTAAGAAATATCAGGAATGACTACGGGGATCTGGGGACAGTGGTCAAAGGCACGGGGGTCCAGGTAATGTTCTTCTCAACCCTCCTGGTGAGGGGGACTTGGTGGATCTTTGGGGTTAACAGCTGGTTGCACTGGTGTTGGCAGCAGGGTTTCAGTTTCTACAACCATGAGACCCATTCTGAACATCAACAGCTGCTTCGAAGAGATGGGATCCACCTGACTAAACAGGGCAAAAGTACCTTTGCCAACAGGCTGGCCAACCTGGTAGGGACAGCTTTAAACTAGAAATGGCAGGTGAGGGATAATTCCTCAAAAACAAAAAGTAAAGTAGTTGGGTAGGCAAACCAAGAGTCTGGGGATGACGGTAAAAGAAGGGACATAGCACCTTTTTCAAGGATCATCTCCTCCAAGCTCAAGAAAGGTCCATCCCAACAAGTAGGAAATCAAGCAGACGTGGGAGGAGGCCTGCATGGATGAACAAGGAGCTCCTAACTGGATTCAACTTAAAAAGGAAATGTATAAGGAGGTGGAAGCAGGGGCAGGTGACCCAGGAGGAGTATAGAGTTGCTGTCTGATCGTGCAGGGACAGGATTAGGAAAGCCAAGGTGGATCCAGAATTGAATCTGGCGAGGGATGCGAAGGGCAGCAAGGAAGGATTCTATAAGTATGTAAACAGCAAAAGAAAAACTAGGGAAAATGCAGGCCCTCTGCTGAATGGGGCAGGGAGCTGGTGACAAAGAACATGGAAAAGGCCAAGGTATTCAATGCCTTCTTTGCCTTAGTCTTTACTATAAAGACCAGCCTTCAGGAATCCCAGGCCCCTGAGACCAGAGGAAAGTCTGGAGCAAAGACAACTTACCCTCGGCAGAGGAGGACCAGTTGAGGGAGCACTTGAACAAACTGGAAATATTTGAGTCCACAGGGCCTGACAGGTTGCGCCCATGAGTGCTGAGGCAGATGGCTGATGACACTGCGAGGCCACTCTCTCTCTTTGAAAAGTCACTGCAACTGGGAAACGTTCCTGAAGACTGGACTCCTATCTTCAAGAAGGGCAAGAAGGAAGATCTGGAGAACTACTGGCCAATCAGCCCACCTCAATCCTGGGAAAGGTGAGGGAAAAAATCCTCCTGGAAGCATTTCCAAACACATAAAGGAGAAGAAGGTGATCGGGAGTAGTCAGCATGAATTTACGAACACAAAATCAACCTTAGCTGACCTGACAGTCTTCTACAATGCAGCGACTAGCTTGGCAGATGAGGGGAAAGCAGGCAATGTTGTTTACCTCAGCTTCAGTAAGGCTTTTGACGCTGTCTCCCATAACATCCTCATAGACAAGCTAAAAAAGTACGTGTTAGGTAAGTGGACAGCGAGGTGGATTGAAAATTGGCTGAACAGCCAAGTCTAGAGTCTGTGATCAGCAGCACAAAGGCAAGTTGGAGGCAAGTCACTAGTGGTTTACCCCACTGTGGCTGACACTGTTTAACATCTTCATCAGTGACCCAGACGCGGGAGCAGAGTGCACCCTCAGCAAGTTTACAGATGATACAAAACCAGGAGGAGTGGCTGACAGATTATATGGTTGTGCTGCCATTCAGAGGGACCTTGAGCAACTGGAGAACTGGGCTGAGAGGAATCTCATGAAGTTCAACACAGGGAAATGACAAATCTTGTATCTGGGGAGGAATAACTCCAGGCAGCAATACACACTGAGGACCAACAACACAGCCTCGCAGCAAAAAACAAAGGCCAACGGCATTCTGGGCTGCATTAGGAAGAGCATTGCCAACAGGTCAAGGGAGGTGATCCCTGCCCTCTGCTCAGCGCTGGTGAGGCCACACCTGTGGTAGTGTGTCCATTTCTGGGCTCCCCAGTAAATGAAAAAGATGGACTGGCAAGTCCAGCACATGGCCACAAAGATGATTAAGGGACTGGAGCATCTTTCATATGAGGAGAGGCTGAGAGAGCTGGGACTGTTCACCTGGAGAAAAGAAGGCCCAGGGGAGGATCTCATCAATGTGAACAAATATCTGATTGAAAGGAATGAAGATGAGGGAGCCAGACTCTTCTCTATAGTGCTCACTGCCAGGAGAAGAGGAGTAGGCTCAAATTGAAACACATGAGATTCCATCTGAACGCAAGAAAATGCTTTTTTCCTGTGAGGGTGTTCAAACACTGGCACAGGTTGCCCAGAGAGGTTGTAGCATCTCCATCTGTAGAGATACTCAAAACCCAGCTGGACACAGCCCTGGACACAGTGACTGGCTCTAGCTGCCCCTGCTTGAGCAGGGAGGTTGGACAAAATGACCTCCAGAGGTCCCTTCCCACCTCGACCATTCTGTGATTCTATTACTAATGATGCATTGGACAGCTGACCATTAGAAAGTCAGGGAGTAGTATCAAAGGTTCACTCCACTTAGAAGGTGTTAGAACATATGCCTTATTTCCATGATTAAATTTTCAAATATTATCCTGCAATTGTTTTGTGTGTATAACATCATCTACCATTTGTTATTATTTATATGGCATCTGACATATGCAGACATTAAATGCTTATACAACATGCTATACAGAAAATATAACAAAACCCACACTGGCATGTTTCAACTGCATATATTTGGCAGCTAAAGCTATATAGCCACTCTCCCCTGAAATACCTTT